CCACAACACTCAGGGTAACTTTCCATTCATAGTATGGACTGGGAAAGAGCTTCAAATGCACCACCACCTGGAAGAAACCAGACATACCCAGAGTTTCCTAGGTGGACAGACACACAGTGTCTGGGACTGGAGACCATGAGATTATTGCAGGTAGTTTGATGCTGTAATTTTATTCACAACACAATTTATAGCACAGGACATGTTATTTGAACAACAAGGGAGGGTACAGATCTGCACAAGGATCCATAATGTACTGAACAAATTACTAGCTGTGATAGAGCTATCTCCTGGTCCAAATCATTACCTCATTCATAGCCCCAGAGCAGAGTTCACTCCATAAATCTATGGTGGAGCCAGGTGCAAGGCACAGGGATCCAATCCTGTCTAAGGGCAAAGGTGAAGGCTGATTTTGTTCCCTGCCAACCATCAGTCCAAACCCTTTACAGTGAGTGATTTCGCAAGCCATCAATCTGACTTTTGATATTTGACCTGAGGGAGGATAGCATGAAGCAGGGCCAGAAACAAGTCCTTAGTCAGTTCCAAGGTATCCTTCATATGCTATCCATTGGTTAACATTTTAAATTAGTGAAGACTCAGGGTTTTAAGCATGCCATTATTAACCTCTAGGAACCTGAAAGGGAAGGGGCAGTGACCAGATCCTCTTAGATTGCTGTCTTCTGAGGAAGCCATGGAAAGGGTTGTTTAATTTTTTTCCCCATGCTGAGGACACAGGGAGAAAGGAAAAGCCAGTTTTCCCCGAGGGAATAAGAGTTCTGCTGGGAATTGAGGAGGGCAGAGATCTGTATCCCCAGACTATGGTCTTCATCAAGCTTCTGACTTCTCTAGTTGTCTGTGTGCCAACTGTGATGCTCAGTGGCTGCTAAGGAGTTTCAGATCCACCATCACCTGGGAAACACCTAGAATTCACTTCAAGAATGCCAGGAAGACCTATTTACATCAACATTTAGCCACCCAGTCAAGGAGGCCACTGATATCAGGTTAAATAAAGCCTGGTCCCACTGTAGCCTTGGTCCAAGAGGCTCTGACAACTGCTGGAATTTTCGGCAGAACCTGGCATCATACATATAATGCTAGTTTTTCAGGCACAGATAATGCAGGAGTTCTGGAATCATAGAGGCTTTTACCTAGAGTTTAAAGAAAGCCTGTGAACTCAGAGTAATGTGTAGCAGAGCTAGATTCCTTATAAGGAGCCTCTGAGAGAGTGATGCAGGAGGCTATGATGGTGAAGCATTGGCCACAGTATGAACCCATGGTGTTAGAGGTGCCAGGAATATGGAACACCTATAGAGGAGACTCCCAGATAACAATTGAAGACAAGGAAGAATGAGGCCGCAGAAGCCACAAATAGTAATGCCATAGGGATATGGTTGCCAAACCCAGTTAGAACATACTGGACACGGAGGCCAAGGGACTTTCTTTATGGACATTATCTTCTTTCATTCTTGCCTTCTGTAAGATCATGCAATTTAGATATGAGAGCAAGTTTTGGGTGTAAGGCTCTCAGGTATTCTACTGGAGTCAAGAGAGACCACTGGGATGATCAGTAAGTTAATGAACAACCACAGTCAACAGGGAGAGGTGCCCTGAACCAGTATGCAACTCTCTCTCCTAGGGTGGAGATTCCCCAGGAAGGGTAGCCTGAGGCAAGAAGAAGTAGTTGAGAAACTACATTACAGGGAGTGGCATGAACTGCCCGAAGAAACAGTCCTGGAAGAACCTTGATATAGATGCTGGGATTTCAGTTGATGCTAAAAGATGGTTCTCCCTGCCACTATTACTTTAAAAAAGAAAAACTTGTTTGTTTCTTTACTTTACATCCCAGCCACAGTTTCCCCTTCCTCTTCTCCTCCCAGTCCTTCCCCATAATCCCCCTTTCATCCCCCCCACCCCAGCCACTCCTCCTCCATTTCTGTTTAGGAAAGGGCAGCCATCCCATGAATATCAGCAAAGCATGACATGGAGTTGCCCTAAGACTCAGCACCTCCCCATATATTAAGACTGAGCAATGAGGAGTAGGGTCCCCAAAGGCAGTAAAAGGGTCAGCTTCCCTCTTTCTGTCCCTCCCTCCAGGTGCTCCTCTCTCCCCTTTTCTCTTGTACAGTACAGTGATTACTTTTTCCACCAGAGACTCCAGGTGGCCTCTGCTTCTTGATTCTCACCATGATTATGCAACTCACTCACACTAAGCAGCACCTTCAATTCACATTTACATTTATGTTCAAAGCATTCTGCCTCTTCCCTCATCTTCCCTTCTTGTGCCAGCTATTTGATAAAATCTGTGTCTACTGTACCTCGTTTTTCAGTTTATTCAATCAGAATTCCCTCCCTGGTCAGTTACTGTTGACATTAAGGTAAAACGTGTCCCCTCAGCACAGAAACCAGGTAAATGGCCCTCACCATATTTATAAGGACAGTGCAATTAGCTATGGATAACACATGGAGGTGGTAAAGGGGCAATCTTTGTAGAGTGGGTGAGTAAGGAGTTGAGAAGATTGCCTTAGCAGAAGACACATCTATCACTCCTCTGTTCGTAAATTGACACCTACTGTTTACACATATTGGGAGTCAAGTCTGAGAGCATGAGTCCCCCAGTTTCAGACTCAAGCGTTTATCTCAAAGGCCCTTCATGGGCCTTTCCTCAGGTAAACTTCCCCCCTCTTGTCCCCGTGATGAGGAGAAAGGAGAACAGAAAACAGTTAAAGGTATTCAAGACATGGAGCCCTCCAGAACAGATGGAAGAACCATTGGCAACAGAGGTAATTGCTTGACTCATGGTATAAAGATACCTACTGTGGGAATAGCAAATGGGAAGCTCACCCATGTAACTGGAAACCTCACAAGGCAATAACTGAGTAACAAGTTTTAGTTACTTTGTATTGCTATTGCAAGACATCACTGCCAGAGCAACTTAAAAAGAAAGCATTAAATTGGACTCACGTTTTGTTTCCTGGGGTTGGAGATCAGGACAGCAGCAGGCACAGCAGAGAGCTCCCTTCTTGATCTGGAAGCACGAAGCAGAGTGCGCACTAGGAGCAGCAACTGTTCAAAGTCCACCTCAGAGACACCTCCTCCAACAAGGCCATATATCCTAATGCTTTCCTCACATTTCCACCAAAGGGGACCAAGGATTCAAGCATGTGAGTCTATGAGGCCATTCTCATCCAAAGGCCACCAATGCTGTCAAACTCCAGCAAGACTGTTTCAGCAGAGCCACCCTGGTCATTTCTGTCAGTGTTTTAAGAGCCTTCTTTGAGATTACTTTGCTTTCTCTCCCACTTGGGCTACTCTAGTCATTTCTGATGGGTAGTGTAAGGCCCTGGTTTGATGATGTTTCTTTGTCTATATGCCACTTCTCCATGCCTGCTATTTTTTATTTGTAAGTTTACTTTTGCTAGCTATATATTCAATAAAAACCAATCATTCAATACTGAAAGGATATGTATAATCGTCCATTTTTCTATATGGTACATAATTGATGTAGTTTTCAAAATCAAGTTTTTGAAGATGTTATTGTAATAAAAAGGAAAAGGTGAAAATAAGAGTTAAAGAAAAGATTGTATCTGGCCATTGCCACTGTGGGGCTGAGTTGGAAATCTGACAAGTGAGCTGGGGATGTGATGGGATCAGTAGAGCCTCACTCCATGGAAACCTGGCCTCTCATTCTCAGTGGGTAGACAAACAGTGGGAGTCAATGCCTTTTGTATTTAATACTTCAATAAAGGGTTAAAATGTAAAGGTTTTTAGTTTGTTTGTTTGTTTTTAGTGTTTTTCTGCTTTCTCCTGATATCAAGTAGAGTTCACTGTTCATGTTTATTTTGGAGTTCCTTTGTCTTAGCTGGCACAAACTCAATGTGACCTCTTGTAATTGCTAGACTTTTGTAAGAGAAAATCAATGTGTGAAAAAAACATTTAACAAAATCTAAACAACAATGAGGTGTGCGAACCTAAATGCAATAGAGAAAACTCTTAAAATTTAACAATTTTCTGGGCTTATAATCTTAATTACTTATGTCACACATGCAATTTAGATTCTACCCTTTTTAAAACTATTTTATAGATTCTTTGAAATTTGATACCAAATATTCTGATCATATTTACATGCAACTCCCTCCCCTTAGCTTCACCCAGATTCATCCCCACTCAACAGGTGAATGGATAGAAGTAGAAAAAAATCATTCTGAATGAGGTAACACAGACCCCAAAAGACAATATGGCATGTATTTGTTTATACATTAGCTGTTAAGTCTTTGATAAGCAGGCTATGATCTATATAACCCCAGAGTTTAGATATAGATAAAGAACTAGGGTGAGAGAGAAAGAATCCCATGGGAAGGGGAAATAGAATAGATAGTTATGGCTACCCCAACACCCATCCGCCTGAGACCCCTGCCACTTCCTGAGACTTAGAGACCAGCCCCCATCGCCCATCAGGCCCAGAGCTCCCATTCAGACCAGAGAGCCCCCCAGTGGACCCTACAATCTATACACCTTGCCCCCACAACCATCTGCTCGAGACCTCCCCCCAATTCCTGAGAATTGGAGACCAGCCCCAGCTCCCATCCGGACCAGAGCCCTGACAAAGAGTGGTTTTCTGAGAAGCAGAATCTGCCACCTCTCTCATTGGACTAAGAGAGGCTTCCTGAAACACTGAATCTGTCAGCTCCAAGAGCTGACAAGAGCACTGATAAGACCAAGAA